AAGTTGTTCAAAAAAACGACTTGTTAGCTTCAATAAGATGATATTAAAACCAAACAGAGGTTCGAGTAAAAGGGCATTTCTTCAGGCACTTGGGTGCCCATCACAGAAACTTTATCATGCCTTTATTTATTTTTCAAATTTTCAAATGCCTTTTTATGTATAGACTTTATTTTATGATTCACTCAGGCTATGAAAAATCATATAAATAAATTTTTTTTAAATCACGATACAAATAGTGTAATAAACATCACTATTTATTGTGTGAAAATGATTTAATCTATAGAGATATTGTATTTGTTTATCAAGAAGACATAAGTGTGAGTGTGAGCATGTGTGTGTGTGTGTGTGTGTATGTGTATATATATATATATATATATATATATATATGTATATTTGATAATTTTACACACACACACATTTTTTTTTCTTTCTTTTTTTTTTCTCCAGGATTCTGTGATGAATAGAAAGTTTAAAAGAACAGCAATTATTTGAAATATATATGCGTGTATATAAATGCATGTATGTATGTATATATTGCACAAATTTCATGTGGGTCTGGTCATGAGTCCAAACGTGTTATTGATCTAATTGAGTCTCTTTTGCTCTAGTGCCCCACTTGCCAGACACTCTCCCGGGCTGTTATCTGATAGACAGCAAATGCAGTGTACACACACTGAGCTCTTACCCACGTAATGCTCCACATCGCTGACAGTGAATGAGGGAGGGGGAAGTTTAAGCCCCAGTCCATCCAGATCATGGACCACAATGGGGTAATGGAAGCCCTCCCTCTCCAGGTAGCATTGGGTCACCTGGCTCCCATCCATCGGCAGCAGAATCTCATCGCCACTTTGAAACAGCCAAGACACACAAATCAACAGCAAGTCTTATCAGGTAGGTGCAAATTCCAAAGCCGTAACGAGATGTAACTAATGATTGTGATTATATCATAAAAACACATTCGAAGTCAAAGTAGTAAAGTTCAACGTCTAATCAAGACTTTATCCAGAGGTGCTTGTACCTGACAAAGCTCCTGGCCTGGAGTTGCTGTACAAACACAGCAGTTCCTGCCTGCACGGGGAGTGTGCCATCGTTTGGCTCCGTGTAGTCATGCCTGTGCCAGTTGTTGCGCTTTTTCACTGCGAAAGAGAAGGAAACATTCATAAGACTGATCCTGGAACACAAAAACTAAAAAAATTGGGGAAACACATGTAGATGCACACACTTACTCATGGAGGGTCCATGGATGGGCTCACAGTTGGGACAGTGATAAACATCGATATCAGCAGCATGGTGCTCCACTACCTGAACACAACTGAAAAAAAAGGCAAGCAGAATTAGAACCCAATAAATATAATTCTGCCACAACCATGTAAATGTGGCAGTAGCCACTAGCAAAGAACACAAACGAGTGTAATTCTTTAAAAATGTAAACTTGAGGTTAGCCAGCATCCTTTCAGCCATTAGCTATGCAAGCATTGATCTATTTTGAACTTTACCACACGATTTACTTTTCGTGGATGAGAGCTCAACACTACCTCACATTCATTCACTAACACAAACAAAAACAATATCTATAGTGTCATGTGTAACCAAACATGTGAGGTTTTATTCTGAGTTAATGCAGATGATGCTGAGACAGTTGAAAGTTGCATGGGACAATGGTGTCATCATCTGAGCGTTTCAGAAAATACTACAAAGTTCACATTGCTTACCACTGTCTATGTCAAACATTGTGTGGGTGAGCGGTGATACAATCAACAGGGCACTGCGTCACAATTGTGGGCTTTCCACCACCATCCATGTCACTCAAACCACAGACCAAATCACCTCCCCAAACAAGCCAAACCGCAACCACAACCATAGCATTCAGCCACCCACACAAACACACATTCCAGAGGTTCATTTCAGAGTCACGCTGCCAACCACGTGAAATCAGCTAGCTGAGTTTTGACAGTCCAGCGGAAAGAGATTTACGGATGCTGAGATGAGTCAAACAACTGGGGCCACACAGGAAAACACCAAATAGTGCTCAAAGATGCGTGTTTACTGATGCCTAGTGTGATATTTGCTCTACTTTTCCTGTATCTTACACATAATAGCTTCTTTCTAGTCAAGCAAGAACAATCCAATACTATAATTTGTTTGTTAAAAATCATAAATTGAGCCGCTTTAGCGGAGCACAACAACACTTAGCCCCTCTTTCAAATTCTGCACTTGCGGCCTTCTCTCATATATGTCTGTTAAGTCCACAAAAGCATAGAGCAAAAGTATCCCATTTATCAATTTATGATTCGGAAAAGCGCAAATGTGCAGTAACTATGCACTCTTGATACACTCTTTTGCTGAGGCCACACTGGTGTAGACTTGACAGCCAACTACTACTCAAAAGTCTGTGTCATTGCATCACAAATATTCTCGCCCTGACCCACATGTTGCCCTTAAAGGCACAATATGTAATTTTCGCCACTAGAGGGCACGTATTCAAAATAAACAAATAGACAAAGGCCTAGTTAGATGACGCTGTGACTGAGTGTGGAATCATGGGAGTTGTTGTCTTCATCCCCACAGCCAAAGCAATCTGACGGGACTCGGGCAGAAATCATGTTCATGGATGAGCTAATGATTTATTAACGTAGTAGAATGAAGCAGGGTGAGGCTGAAAGCCGTCGAGCAAAACAAGGCCGCTGAACGAGCGTGACACACTGCTCGAAAGCAGCGGAGCTTTTATTATGCCACAGTCGACCGCTTCCGCTCCTTCCGGTCGTGCGTATGTGGGGGAAAAAAGCAGTGCTGTTTTATCATACTAGATACGTTTGAAAGTTCTGTTATAATGCTACTCTGTGCGGTCGTCACCGGTCTAATAAAATGCATAGCATATTAAAGCATCTTTGGTGTTTCAATCAAGGGGTTATGACACTATGGAAACGGTCCGTGTCACTAGTTAAAATTGCTTATTTCTCTGGATTTAAACATTCTTTGAAACATTTGGAATAATGTAAGTACACAAGTCAGCAAAATATATAACGCTATTCTAGTGGTTTTTGGATATTAATAAAAAAATCTTACATATTGTGCCTTAAGGCCCTCACTGAATCCACAATCTGGAGATAAAATGCTGTAGTCCACAGAGCCTCTGAAGAGGACTGAAATAGCTATAAGCAGTGATAGTTGAAGTTTGTTTTTACGTTCTTTGCTTTTTGTTCGAAATACCTAAGCAGCAGTTTACTGTTAGCGAACAATGCTGTGCTGCTGGAAGCGTTGTTTATATGAATATGTAAATATGTGTTATGTGCTTTCCTCTCAATAACAAAATAAAAACACAACAAAATGTCATCGGTGAGAAAACAGCTGTTAAGAAAGCATTTGATAGGTGCAATGTGAATATGCTTGCACCAACAGCAATTGGCAAATGTCCCGAAACTAAATTAGTTTTGTTTTGGCTAATTTAGTTTGAAATGACATCATGCCAGTTCTTTCTTTGCTTTCCCTTGCGGTATTTGCTGATAATGAAGAAGCTGTACATAGACACTTCATGTTCTGGAGATTACGGGATGTTGCTGCATTCATGTATCACAAGAGCGGTTCAACTCTTCCAGTTCCCCAAATAAAGTCTTATTTGAGTTTTAATGATGCTGCCGTAAACGCCTTGGCTCTCGCTTCCTTTTTCGCCATCAGAATAGAGTTAACATCAAGAGTGGATACTGTGCTATATGGGGCTGTTAAAATCAGCAGGGGACTTGAGCAGAAAGGTGATTCTGCTCAAAGAGAAGACAGCCTTTGAACACAGGCAGAGGACTGAATGTGCTGCTGTCTCTACTTTGATCTCCTCATTATTGCCGGAAACAGCAAGAAAAACTAAGTAGAACCAGGAAGCAGAAAGTTGCTGGCGTCCCAGACGAAGCCTAGCTGGTGCTAACTGTTCATTGGCTTAATCTCCTTTATAATCAGGCAAATTCCATCAACACTATCCTGCTTCTGTTGGCAAGAAGTTTTACGGTGTCATTTTATGTCCATATGGTCCATTATCGGTATCAGTTAGACCATACTCATACAATTTTTTTCAACTGCAACCTAAAATGACTAAATTTGTTGCAGCTTTTTTCAGAAACTGAAATGCTTTTAAAAGTGATGCTGACAAAGATTCATCCACTGTATGCAGTTCTTAATATTTAGAAAATCATGTAAAAAAAAAAAAAACTTATCAATTAATGTTTTTACCATATTATTTGATTTAATAAAGACAAATTTGCAAGCTACTTCAAACATTGCAGGATTGGTTTGAGCCGATAGTGAGTATTTTAATTGTTCATGCTCATTACCCATATATTTACATTTAGATTATCTTTGCCGTCATATAATTCTCATTTGAAATAATCTTTAATAACATTAATAATACTCTTAAATGTAATATTTAGCAAATCTCAAAATGAATATCTTTATTTCATTCTGTGCATTATAATGTTGTGATGTCGAAAATCACTTGTAGCAATTAAAATCATTAACATGTTATTGATATCAGCTCAAATTTGATTAATTGGCACATGTCTGTTTATTATGATTGCAAAATCCAAAGATTTTGGAGAGACTGCAGTGTGGATCCATACAACTGTGGTCTGAAAACATTAGATTAACAATTTAAAGCCTGTAGAATTCATCGGATGTTTGTCTTTCATCCCTATGATTCACTTGGAATAAAATCTCTCCCCAAATGGGATGTCCTGAACCAGTGCCGTGACTCCAGCTCACACTGCGATAAAGTCACCTGGGTATCACAGCCAGACATGCGATGACACACGAGCAGATGGGGGAGGAAAGGTTTAAGGATGAATGACTCTACACCCACTCTCCTCCTCCACTTCCCTCCTACGTGAACCAGACAATGAGAGAGAGAATAGAGCACTCAGATCTTGTCCCGCAGTTGATGAATGAACTAAAGTTCTCAGCAGTTTGGGCAACATAAAGACCAATACAATTCAATCTGCTTAAGTGAAATATAAAAGTTGTACTTGTTCCATAGAACCAAACAGGCTCCCACAATGCATTATGCACATCATCGACACACAGTCCCATAATGCTTCAAAGTTATGTTGGAACAATAGCATTTATGAGATCAGCCCACGTGAACGGCACAACAATGTCATAATAACCAGCTAAAAGCTCTTTGAGCACCAACTGTACAAGTTTACTTTGTAAAAAAACATTTTCATTGTGATTGTACAAAGTATTTAGTACACCTAAAAGGATTAAAGTGGTAAAGAAAATATTTTTCTCTTTTTCGTTACAGCGTACTTCTCCACTTTTCCATTAACCCCGTTTCGTTCACATTATGTCTGGCTCATTAAACAATCTTCATTTTATTGCACTCATTTTGTCATGGAGTTTAACCATCCCTCCCATAATGCTTTTTGATATACAAAGTGCTCATTTTATCTCCCTGTCTTGGTTTCATAACACCATGTGAACCAGGTCAGTGTGCCACACGCCTGGAGTTGAGTCAGCCTTCCCGTCACCTAAGTTACCGATTAACTACCCACCAGAGAACCAAAGGCACAGAAAGCAAGACAGTGTGTAGAAAGGAACCCTCTGATAATTTTTTTTCTAGTGGCCAGCATACGCTATTCCCTTTATTTTGTGTAACCAACTGTGTAGGTTGACTATTTGTCACTTACTACTGTAAGCATCGAGGCATGGGATGCCATGCTATATTGTGAGTTGTTAAAGGTGGGGTAAGCGATTTTTCAAAAACGCTTTAGAAAACTGATTCGGGCCGAATAGCAAAACAAACTTGTAGCCAATCAGCAGTAAGGGGCGTGTCTACTCGTGATGTGGAGGAGAGAGTGTTCAGTGCACAGGACGGACACTAGCGAGCCGAGTGACAGAAAGATAGAGATGGTGGATAAAAAACAAAAGAGGAAAACGTCTGTGGAACAAAAGAAGGCTTAAGGCAATAAGGCAAGTAGTAGGACACGTGTAAAGAACTCAAGGAGCGGAAGGCCTGCGATCGGACGCTGAGGTTGCTTTGTTTCTTCTCAATAGGTAAGTAACACCGTTAGGGCTGGGCGATATAGCTAAAAAATTTATCAACGATATAATGTTTTATATCGTTTGGTATCAATAATTATGTCCATTATCGGTATCAGTTAGACCATACTCATACAATTTTTTTCAACTGCAACCTAAAATCACTAAATTTGTTGCAGCTTTTTTCAGAAACTGAAATGCTTTTAAAAGTGATGCTGACAAAGATTCATCCACTGTATGCAGTTCTTAATATTTAGAAAATCATGTAAAAAAAAAAAAAACTTATCAATT